CCGGCGCGGCCCCGGGGGCGTTGGGCGCGGCCGCGCCGGCGGCGGGAAGTTAGTTGGAGGGAACCGAGGAGCTGCGGGGCCCGGGGCTCCCGGGGGCTCGGCTGCGGCCTGGCGCGGCGTGGGCGGGCAGGGCAGGGCCGCGCGGGTCCGTGTGCGTTTCCCTCCGGGCCCCGAGTGTCGTGCCCGGACTGTGAGGGCGAAGGAGAGTCCTGGAGGGCCGCTCACGGGTCCGGGTCCGTTCTTGTGTTTTCTTTCCCCTTCAGCCGAAACAACTTCCTGACAAGTGGCAACACGACCTTTTCGACAGCGGTTTCGGGGGCGGCGCAGGAGTCGAGACGGGTGGGAAACTGCTGGTGTCAAATCTGGATTTTGGAGTATCGGACGCTGATATTCAGGTAAGGCACGGGAGCTTCTTGGCGCGCAGTCGACCCCTCACGGACTCGGTCCCGTTCGGGACGTGGTCTTGAATCTCCTGCACGGTAGCCCAGTGAGCCCTCCCCGGCCCCCGTGAGGAGCTGCGGGGACGCAGAGCAGAGGTCACACTAGTCGCCAGCCCCGCAAGTAGGCCAGTGTGTTGGAAGCCAGGCCCCCAGCCCGGCGCGAGGAGCTGCCGCCCTTCTAAGACGTTCTGTCAGTGAGGATCCCCTGCCACAGCTCCCAGCCAGGCCGGAGAGGTGGCTCTCCCGTGTGTGTCTCGCGTTACCGACTCAGCCGGGATGTTTCTTTGGTTTCTTGTGTATTTGTTTTAGCTATTTGTTGGGAGGAGAAGACCTTTTTTCATGGAAACAGGTAGACAAAACAGACACAGGATGGTGCCGGGCAGCTTTCCTGCTCCGTTTGCCTCGAGCCGCAAGCTCCGTGTCTCGCGGAACTTGCCTCCGGCTCCCCCCCCCCCACGTCTTTCTAGCGACATGATTTCAAACCCATCCTTGTCTGAAGCTGTGTTTTCTTTCGTTTGTTTTCTTTTTCCTTTTTTTTTCTTTTTGATTGAATTCCAAAGGCGCATAAACTTATTTTCTGGTTAAGAAAAGCTCCCTTGAGGATCGGTCCCAGAGATGGCTGGGTCAGGGTGCTGGGCCTTCCTGGGTTCAGTTTCCCAGAGCCCCGCTGTTTGTTTGACTACCATGGGAGGACAGAGCAAGGCCGGTGAGCACTCACGGTGTCTCAACACTTTTTTTAAGGTGGTTTCTGGCATCCACTGGAAACCGCTTTTGGTGAACTCCACTTCCCGCTGTGTGCCTGCGGCCGGAGTAGCCCCACACTCTGGGTTCCCTCTCCAACTCCCAGCCTGCCTGAGGTCAGGGCAGTTTCCATGGCAGCGCTTGACTTCAGCCTTTGCGGCAGGCTTGAGTAGGAGGAGAGGGAAAGGTGAGCCAGAAATCTGCCCTGGGGGAGGGGCTGGGTCAGGGCTCCCGCATCTACGGGCCCTGTGAGCTGGTCCACATGACGGATAGCGTCCCTTGCTCTGTGATCTTGGCCTTTGCTGTTTCTCGGTACGGTCCTTGGGTGTGTTGGAAATTTTCCTCTGTTGAAGAAGATAGCGACTTAATCTCGTGCCCTTCACTGGTGGGCTTTGCGGTCCTTTACCTGCCTCCTGGTACCGGTGTCAGGTCCCCACGCTGGCAGGAGCCCTCAGGCCCAGCTGCTCCCGGAAGTTGCTGTCCCGTCCGCCCCCCCCTTCCCCCCCCGTGTGCACTGCCCCGCCCCCCCACGTGTGTGCCTCCCAGGGAAAGACCCCCCCCCCGCCCCCCAGAAGTTCGCACTCCCAGGGACGGCCCTGGGCCCCCAGGAAGGGGAGCCGCTTTGCTAACAGCCGCACTTTCCGGCCCCCAGGAGCTCTTCGCTGAGTTCGGAACTCTGAAGAAGGCGGCCGTACACTACGACCGCTCAGGGCGCAGTTTAGGAACAGCCGACGTGCACTTTGAACGGAAGGCAGATGCTCTGAAAGCGATGAAGCAGTACAACGGCGTCCCCCTGGATGGTGCGTCCGAGGTTGGACCCAGAATGGTAGAGGGGCCGCATCTACTTGTGGAGTCTGGGGCTGGCAGCTGTCCGTGCAGGAATGTGGCTTACCCCCGTGGCTGAGGACACTTTGCATTCGCCCCTTTGTCTCTCTCTTCCATTCTGCCACCTCTCATGCTGCCCCACACATCCGGACCAACCTCTTGTGAACCCCCATCCAGCAAGCTACATCCCTCCCCTCCTTCAGCTCCTTCCGGAAGATTCACTTCTGTGAAGCCTTCTCAGAGCCGCCATAGTACACCTCTGAGTGCGGGGCTGTAGTCGTAAAGACAAAGGTACCGGTCCTTCTTCCGTCAGGTCACCCACACCTCTCCACCCACGAGCACCCCGGACACCTGAGCAGACACCCACCTGACCTGGACTCGGAAGGAGCGAGGAGGTCCTGGCGGGCTTGACATCGGCACCGCCCCGCCCTCCTACCGGTGTCACTCGGCCGCTCCCCTTGCGGGCAGCACTTGAGACACACAGCCCCTTTCCAGCGCCTGCATGGAGACCGGGGTGCGGTGCCCCCGCGGGTGCACCTCAGAGCCCTCTAACTGGAGCGCGCCCTCTTGTGTGCTTTGCCACAGGCCGCCCCATGAACATTCAGCTCGTCACGTCACAGATTGACACACAGCGGAGACCCGCACAGAGGTGAGTTGGGGGCCTGTGGCACGTGGCCGTTCGTCCCGCGGGCCTGTGCAGGTCACGTGAGTGAGGTCCGTTTTCCTCGCCAGCGTAAACAGAGGCGGGATGACCAGAAACCGCGGTTCCGGAGGCTTCGGGGGCGGTGGCGGCACCCGGAGAGGCGCTCGCGGAGGAAGCCGGGGCAGGGGCAGAGGCACCGGCAGGAGTTCGAAGCAGCAGCTCTCCGCCGAGGAGTTGGACGCCCAGCTGGACGCTTATAACGCCAGAGTAAGGCCCGGGGCCCGGGGGACGGGGCCACAGACTGCCGGGGG